TGCATAAGACAAAAAAGTACATTTGCATAGTTCATGTGTCTTAAAAAGAACATTTTCATTCATAAACTTCACAAACAATCACATGAAGTTTATAATACCCATAATATATGTTTTACGATCAAACACCCTTTTTAACTAAACCTCAATTTATATTATTTTTGATATAAATATATGCATTTTATATTTATATATGCTAATATATTAATTCTTCTATGATAATTATAGTTGTCTCTGGAAACAATGGAATGATCATTTCAATAGACATTCTTTAGTGCGTAGTCACTGACCTTTGGTGAATTTGTGTTGCTACTAAAAACCTATTTACAATCCTTCCGACTGGATACAATTAACAAATGAAGACAGAAAAGATGACAAATGTATACTCTGTATTTACAGTTGGTCAGAATTATTAGCCCCCCCTGAATTATTAGCTCCCCTGTTTATTTTTTCCCTAATTTCTGTTTAACGGAGTGAAGATTTTTTTCAACACATTTCTAAACAATTTAATAACTCAATTCTAATAGCTGATTTATTTTATCTTTGTCATGATGACAGTAAATACTATTTGAATAGATATTTTTAAAGACACTTCTATAAAGCCTAAAAGGACATTTAAAGGGTTAAATAGGTTAATTAGGTTATCTAGGCTGGTTAGGGTAATTAGGCAAGTTATTGTGTAATGATGGTTTGTTCTGTAGACTATCAGGAAAAAATATTAATAAAACAAATAAGACTCTCTCCGGAAAAAAAAAAAAAAATTAACAGACCTACTGTGAAAATGTCCTTGCTCTGTTAAACATCATTTTGGAAATATTAAAAAAAAAAAAAAAAAAAAAATCAAAGGGGGGCTAATAATTCTGACTTCAGCTGTATATTTAAAAACACAAAACACAAAAGAAAACATTTTGAAGATTGTTGGAAATGGGTAACCACTGACTTCTACAGTATTTGTTTTTCCCTGGTTACCAGACAGTGGGCCCGTTTCAAAAAGGAGGTTAAGTGAAGTATTTTAACCCTGAAATGAGAGAAACTCTGGGTTTTCCGTTTAAAATGGCAGGTTTGTTATACTGGAGAAAGCAGGGTAAGTCAAGCCTGTTTCTGAAAGAGAGGTAACTTTAACTCACAGTCAGTTACTGTGGTAACTTACTCTGTGAATCTAACCTGGGGTGCGTTTCCCAAAACCATCGTTAGCCAACTAAGGTCGCAAGTTCCGTCGTTACAAACATAGTTTGTTGGTTTGCCATTTTCCAAATCCATCGCTCCAATGAACATTCGCAAACTGCGTCGCAAACTTGAGCACTCGCTACTCCAGCTCTGGAGCTGTAGTTAGAAACAGTTCCTGGCTGTGTTCTATTCCCACTTATCCCCCTACGCCCTATTTAGAACATTCTAACTTATTATATTTCACTTTAATATTTAAATAATTTAAATGTAAACTTAAGCAATAACTGTAACAGTCTCTGTTTCACTGATGCAGTGGTGTTGCTTTTTTAAATATACGCTCATATTTGCTATAAATTTGCATGAGCACATCAAGTTCAGCTGGAGAAAACGGTGATCTCTTTTTTTTAGATTTTGCCATGGTCACTCGTAATATCTGCGCTCCATTGATAATGCCTTTTTATAGTCGTGGTGTGCGCGCTTAACTCTGAGTTGGTCTACTCAAAGTTGATTGACCTAATTCAGATCCGCTATTCAGAAACCGAAAACTGAGTTTTAAATCTCTCGCTAAATCAACTCAGAGTTCAAGTTTCAACTCTGAGTTGGTTGAACCTCCTTTTTGAAACAGGCCCAGTATCTCCCAATGTTTTCAACAGGAGAAATCAACTCATAAAGGTTTGAGGTCCATTTAAGAAGGAGTAGATTTGGACTTTGTATGAAGTACCCCTTTGAATTGTCCATTTAGGGTGCTTTCACACCTGTGAATCGATTCAGTTGTTCCGAAACAGAGATTACGAATGTTACATTGTTGCTCTTTGCTCTTGGAGCGGTTCGCTTTCACATTGCAAAGTTTCTAAACGGACCAAAATAGCTAAAACAAGTCACGTGCGAGTAAACTCTCCTCACATTGGTCAAAGTGTCAGGGTTTATTTTGCAGTGTCCCGCTAAGCTATCAGGAGAGGTGGTGGTTTGATGGTGATTGACAGGGTGCGCGCGCGCGATGTGTCTGAGGAGAGATGCGGTGGAGAGGGGTGAGAAGGGTGCGCGACGATGTCTATTTAAGGACTGGGAAAGAGACGCGAGATTACCGGGAGATCATCACTCGTTTGCGGGCATCCGGAGACTCGCGAAACTTCCCGCCATACTCATAATTCTCTCTTCATATGGCCGTAAGCCTATTACATATCCATAAACACTGTGATATAACCGCGCTCGGATCGGATCGCATTCTCACTGCAATCGAACCGCTCCAGGGTTCGTTTCAATCGAGCCGAGACCACCTCATTCAAGCGATCTCGGAGCGATTACTTTGGCGCGGAACAGAGCGCGATTGCCCTGTTCACATATGCCAATCGAACCGCGTTAACTGGGCAATCGAGACACGTTCCGAAACAAAAGTGTAGGTGTGAAACGACCCTTAAATGAATGTGATAAACACATATTTCTTGCAGTCATTTGCATTGCTAAAATGATCAAGGGGCAAGAAAGCAAAATAACAGAACACAACACAATACAGACCATGACCTGCATTCCAAATGATGCATTTTGTAAATGCTTGATTTTTAAAGATACACAATCCTTAAAAGATTACTATCCAAAACCATCTACGGTAGTGTTTTGTTATGCTGCAACCAACAATGAAAATAATGATAATAATCAACATTTAAAAAGAATGTATTTAAAAATTATGTTCATTAAGACAACCCCAACCCTGTAAGAATAAGGCACAATTGTGAGTTAAAACTAAAATAAAAATAAAAAAAAATAAAAAAGTGCTGCAACCATGATATCAAAACCCCAGAAACTGATTTACTATTGTTCTCTTGAGATTTTCATAAGTCTGTTCGTTTTATTAATAGTTTGCGTTACACCTATTTGTGATCCGGAGTCAAATATGTTTCAGTTTCTTTTTTAGCCAAATAAATTACTAATCAACCATTCAGTTTTAATAAATGTATCAAATATCTTCATAAAGCATGATCTATACTTTAATATTCTAATGATTTTTCACATAAAAGGTCATTTTCCAGGCCGTGTTGTCAAGACTGCTGCACACATTTAATGTAATGTACAAAATTAAAATAAAATTAATTAAGGACTAATAAAGAAACAATTCCTATAAAAACATTCAAATAAAATTTAAATAAAATAAACAATAATAAAATAGTGCTGCAACCATGATGTCAAAACCCCAAAGACTGACTCACTGTTGGTTATCTTGAGATTTTTCTGATCTTTACTAAATATTCAGATGATTTTTCACATTAAAAGAAGAATTAATCTTCCAGGTGGTATTGTCAAGATTGCAGCACACATTTAATGTGGAAGTAAAGCAGTCTGTCAGGTTTATCTTATTTTGTAAATTGGTTTCCACTTTAATAAAAATATCTTAAACTCGATTACTGTAACCGTTTTGACGAAAATGGCATGTTTTACTACAGTTTTTAGACCTAGGGTGTCGCCATCTTGGAATATCACTGTGTCAGACATCACAGGGTCGGATGCGTTCCCTTAGCTGAACAGATAAAGTGGAATAATGGTCTGAACACAGAGATTGGACAGTCTAATTTAACCCAATGTGTGATGTTGTGAATGTGTGCTGGTGCAAATACAAGCATCAGATGCGTGTCTAATATATACAAAAAAAAAATGTCTGCGTCACTTCCACATTAATGTAATTAATGTAATAACTAATAAATAATTAATAACTAAATAAAAATAAACAGAATTAAGCACTAAAAATTTATATATATATATATATATATATATATATATAGCAACTATAAAACAAAATAGTGCTGCAACCATGATGTCAAAAACCCAAAGAAGAAGGAATCCTAAAGATAATTTCAATACCCTTTTTAAGACTTTTTAAAGACCCTCATTACCACTTCAAGTTCTAATCGGTATCAAACCTTTAACTTAATAAACAGTTGTTAATAAACAGTTGTAGTTAAATAAATCAATGAAGCACAACCATGCAACAGAGCTCAGATTCAGCCCCTGTTTAAACTCGCCTTTCTCCAACCAGGAGTGCACAAACTTTAATTTTCCCATTTTGTCCTCTGTTACGCTCTATGGCTTCACGACATGTGGAGAGCGTTACATCTCCTTCCTGTGTTTATCACAAATTATGTAACATCACCCAGACGAGGAGGTTGGCCGGACAAACCAATGGTGTGGATTGAGCAAGTCATTGTTAATATTAGAAGGAAAATAAATATATGATTTTTTGGAGTCAAACACTTTGGACAACGCTTGAACTAAATTTCAGGCCTCATAAAAATACTTTTTTATACCTTTTTAAAACCCTAAATTTTCTTATAATTGATTTAGAAACTTTTAATACTTTTTAAGACTCCGTGGACACCCCAGTGTGGCTTTTCATGAGTTTTTTCAATTTATAAATTGCTTGCGATAAACATTTATCACCCTGGATCACAAATAAGTGTCAATTTGTTTTTTAGCAATACATATTACTAACTAAATATTCAGTTTTTATAAAGAAGTATTTATATTTATATATTTAGAAAAAAAAAATCTTCATGGAGCATGATTTATGATCTTATACTAATGTTTTAGCATTAAAAGTAAAATCTTCCAGGTTGTGTTGTCAAGACTGCAGCACACATTTAATGTAATAAACTAAACAAAAATCAAATGAATAAAGCACTAATAAAGAAAAACTATAAACAAAATAAAAACTATAGTAGAAAAACTCAAAATAAATCAAAATTTACAATCTCTCTCTCTCTCTCTCTCTCTCTCTCTCTCTCTCTCTCTCTCTCTCTCTCTCTATATATATATATATATATATATATATATATTAACTTTCATTGGAGAATTTTGAGGATAAAAAACAAATAAAATCCTCTGTTGCTTTTTCTTTTCACCGAGTAACAGAGAAACGAGAATGATTCTAGCACCGGCCCCAATGTGTTCAACAATTCCAGCCCAGAAAAACAAACAAACTTGTTCTCTTCACAGTGCAAAATGTCAACTCTCAGCACAGTGAATCACAAATAAAAAGCATCACGTTGCGTTAAAAGAACCTGAGAGAGCTGGTTGGGAATTCTTGGAGATTTCATATTGCACTTTTGCTGTGAAGCTTAAGGTTTCTGCTGACAATCATTTTACCGAGTCCTTGGCTGAAGACAACAACCTTGTGGCTCTTTTGCATGAACTCAGCTCAGCTCCAGGCGGTAAGTCCTGATTTCCATGGCTTTAAGGCTGATCTCCTGCGGCCTGCTTTCACTACTGAGCGTGTGCATCAGAGACAGAGACACAGGAGTGATGCTTTTCACCTTTAGATCCGTCAGGAGCTTCTCCAAATCAATCTACGCACACACATAAACACAGTTTGTTAGTTAGAGCCTTTGCGTGGCATGTTGAAGCAAGCATTGACTCACAGCTTTAGACTTTGATTTTTCCACTTGTAAAAAGTAAGATGGTTAGCATATCTGACATTTTCCAGCTAAGCCTGTGAAGTAAGTGGAAAGTAAACAACTTTAATACACTTAAGGGACTCTTTCTTTAAATAGGGCATTCCGTTATTTACAGAGAGGTGAAGTGTATCGTTTTTGTTTGATGTTAAACCAGTCCCCTTCTTAATATGCAGAGTAACTGCAGTTGATTTGTGTTTAGAGCGTATCGCTTAGACTTTGTGGCCATCCAAACTTTGCTTCGTTTGAGCTTCAGACCAAGAGTTGTGTTTCCAATACGATGATCAGATTCACTGCGTTGTCACTGTAGTATTATACATTACTGGAGATTTGAGTTTTAATTTTTACTTGTATTGTAGTGTGTATTAATGTTTTCAACCCTTTAAAGCGTACGATCACACCGGTGTGATCAGCACTTGTTGGTCCATGAAGAGTACAAATCACACCTTTGTGTTTAGAGCGTTCAGAGCACACGTCATCAACTTTTAAAATTCAAATCTTACGGTGCACGATGAGGCACAGAAAGAGGTATGCAGTGCATGTCATGAATCACAATTTATCTGTGCTTTCATACAAATAACACTTATTTTAGGATTAGAGATTCAAATACGCATACAGTTAAAACCAGAAGTTTCCATACACTCTAAAAAAAGGAACATACCCATTTTTTTTTTTAAATGTCTGATGGTAAATCCTACAAAACGTTAAATATTTTAGGTCTGTTAGGATTACAGACCATTTGCTAAATGCCAGAATAACGAGAGAATTTCTTTTTTGGATAATTTTGTATTAATTTCTAGAAGTCAAAAACTTTACATACATTACCTTGCTATTTTTTAGCTTTGCTTTTAAACTGTATAACTTTGGTATACTGTTTTGGGTATCTTTCCACAAGGTTCTCACAATAGTTAGCAGGAATTTTGGCCCATTCCTCTTGACAGAATTGGTGTAACTGAGTCAGATTTGTTTTGCTCGCACAAGCTTTTTCAACTCTGCCCACAAGTTTTCTATAGGCTTGAGATCAGGGCTTTGTGATGGCCACTCCAAAACATTCACTCTGTTATCCTTAAAGCACATTTTAACTAATTTGGCAGTATGCTTAGGGTCCTGGGGCCTCATGTATCAACGCTGCGTACGCACAAAAACTTTGCGTACGCCAGGTTTCACGCTCAGAATCGCTCACGTTTGGATTTACTAACAATGAACTGAACGTGGGAATGTGCGCAGCTTCACGGCAGCTTTATGGCTGGTGTACGCACATTTTTTGTGCGTGTGTGTTTTATTTCCATTGGCGACTCCTAGAGGCAGTTGTGTTAAATTACTCTCTACAAAGTGTCTGAGCCTTGCAATGGCAGCTGTATGAGACGGGTTCATCTAGTAGGTATATAAGGTTTCCATACAATACAGTTGACCAGCTAAACATTAAAGCACAATTTGCAGCGGTCGCCTGTTTTCCCAATGTAATCTGAGCTATCTACTGCACGCACATTGCTATAAAGACACTATCTGAAGATGAATTTACATGCGTGAATCAGAAACATTTCCATTCAATAAATGTGCAAATAAAATATGATGCACAGACTTATTAATGATTCCTACTTGTCCTTCTCGTTATAAATAGTTGGCAAAATCTGATATGTAGCGGGAGAAAAAAGAAGAAACAGTTCATCAGAAGCTGGATTCGAACCGAGTTCATGCTCGGACGTGTCAAAACATGATATCCTGCGTCTTACAAGCTGTGCCACTGAGACTGTTAAGAATTTTACAACATTTTACAGCTATAAATCACACTATTTCTTTTTTAATTCACTCGATGCGATGTTCAGACCCAACTGTGTTAACCGCATCAGCTAAACTCTCCCACTATATTTTTTTCTTTTGTTGTTAATTCCAGAGAACAAACTTGCAAATAACACCGCTTTTCTCCGGTCTACCTCCGAAAGCAGCACCTCCAATTCGCATTCTGTTCAAAGTTTCTCTTTTTGCTTGCTTTTGCCTTTGCTTTTTGTTGGGATTTGCCAAAGTATATCCATTAGCATATTCATACGGGGGAGGAGGCAGGGAGGGGTTTTGTGCTCGTGCATGTTGCGCTCAGTTTCACGTTCATTCGGATGTACAAAAGAATATGCGTGAGATTCGGCGTACACACTGTTTCATACATCTGAATTTTTTTCTGCGTACGCACATTTACAGCTTTGTGCGTACGCAATGTTTTAGTAAGATTTCCACGCAAGTCTTCGTACATGAGGCCCCTGGTCTGCTAGGAAGACTTATTTCTCCAAAAATGTGTCTGTTTCCCAGGGTAATTTAGCAAATTGTAATCTGGCTTTTTTTTTTTTTTTTGATTCTGGCTTGTTGAATTTCCCATGTTGTCACACAAGGAAGCCGTGTGTTTGAGGTTTTCCTTAAATACAATTCTACAGTTGTGCCTCCAATTAACTCAAATGTTGTCAATTAACCAATCAGAAACTTTCAAAACCTTGACATCATTATCTGAGCTTTTTCAGAGGCATAATAATCTTATTGTATGTAAACTTGACTTTCAAGAAAAGTTATAACAGTTGCTCAAAAATCTCTCTCTCATTATTCTGCTATTAAGCATAACAGAAACAAATTTGATAATTCTAACTTACCCAAAAGAAAAAAAAAGTTTAGTCACATTAACATTATTACCATTAACATTATTATTTTAACATTTCTCATAATCGTGCGATTTTAGTGACTGTCGCTTTAAATAGACATTCTGCTTCCAGCCCTCTTTTCAAAAAGGGGCAGAGCTAAAAATTCCCATATATCAAATAACTTAAAGTAAAAAAAAATAGCCTTAGCTAATAGTTTGTTAAGAGCGTGAATTGTACATTAAAATTAAACGTTATCTAGATTTTAAACAACCAGTATTAACATTAGTATTTTTACTCTCATTTAAATGCTGTAATAAAAATTCAAAAACATCTTTAGCAATGTAATCAGAATATTATAACGCTACAAATATACTTTTGTTAGCACATTTAACAAAATGAACTAAATCAACAATTTCATCTCCTCAGTGTTAGAATAGGGTGCATGTACAATTTGGATGTGCCTCTGTTTTGTATCAAATAGAGCAATGGTCTCAAATATAAATATTGAAGGGCAGCAGCTCAACATAGTTTAGCTCCAACCACCTTCAACAACTAAAGACTGGTTTATACTTCTGCGTCAAGTGCACGTAGCCATGCATTTATAATTCTGCACGCTGTATGTGTTCCTTTGCAATAACACATCCGAAACGCTAGCTGGCAGTAGGTCTTTATGTTGCTCTGTGTCGAGTTTTTTTCTCAACGCTACCTTAATGTACAAGTGGCTCAAACTTGCACATTTTGAGGCGGGAATCGGCGGACGTGCAACAACTTTAATCATAAGGTAAACACAAAACAACAGTGTCCATCTGGAGTCCCCTCATAGGACTCGACACTTGTAAACACTGGCTGCATCGGGCTTGCTCTACCCTCAGCCCACACTCTTCAGCACTACCAAGCCGACCAATCACAGAGCTTGCGCTATGCGTCATTGTGACCTGTAGTTACATTTTTTAAAGAGGTGCACGTCAACGTCGCAGACGGCCATGGCGAGGGCTATGTGTCCATGTAGGCTGCGCCATAGCATATGCGTGCACTTGACGTAGTATGAATCAAGCTTAATAGTCTCTAGTAGTCTTGAACACCTTGATTATTTGGATCAGCCGTGTTTGATAAGGGTTGGAGAAAAACTGTGCAGAACTGCGGCCCTCCAGGAATTTCAGTTTGAAGTTGAGGATTTTTTAAGTGTTTTTCTGGACTTTAAATGAGTAAAAAATATGAGTGCTTGTGAGCGTGCGCCCTATACTGACACTGAGGAGAAGAAAGAATTGAATAAACTTGTTATATTTAATTTATGTGCCCACAATACATGTTCTAATTTATTGATAATATTTCAATTGAACCACTAAAGGCATTCAATCTGTTCTGAGGATGTTTTTCTGAACAAGTCAGGAATCATGCTATCAATGAAGGATGAGGGAGCTCTCCAATTACACCTAAAATATCTTCATTTGTTTTCTGAAGACGAAAAAAGGCCCCAGGGGGATGTAACAACATGAGGGTGAGTAATTAATAACATCATTTTTATTTTTGGCTGAATTAACCCTTTAAAGCAGTTTTGACCTCTGCCTCTGAATTGCTGGAGTGTGTGTGTGTGAGACGCCTCGTGATCTGCTTTACCTTGCCACGTGTGCTGGTACACAGTAGGCCAGTGTTGCGATTGGAGAAGCCACAGTCAAAGCCTTTTCTGTGCAGTATCAAAGCCGCCTGCTCGGACGCAGCTCCCCCTTCCTCCTGTGAAAGTGGAGAGAGACAGAGCCTCAGGCCGCATCAACACAACACTGTTTCTTCACAAACGCGCTCACACTGGGCCAATTATCAAGCGCTTTCTGCTTTTTCACTCATCAGCTGCAGCTCAGCACAATCATCCCGCTTCCAAATAACTTCAGCTTTATCGACAACATGTGACGGGGCTGAAAATCATTTCGGCAAACAGAGATTGCGTTTACAGTAATGCACTTACAATGGATTGATGGAGGAAGGCTGAAATTATTTTTCACTTTTCTTTATGAAGCAGAGATATTGCATTTTCCGTATAGAGAGTGCATTGTTTGAGATGTGGATTTCTATATAGTTTTATTAAGAATTATGCAGTATTGATTAGTGGCTGCTTCACTATCTTTATATCTTCTTTGCATGTTTAATGTTGCAATACATCAAATCAAAAGCAAAAAGTTATAGAAATTTAGATCACTGAAAGCAAAAATGATTCATTTCATTTTCAATTAATGAAATGAATAGACTTCAAATAGGGCAGTTTAAATTTAAACAATGATGTAATTATGTTTCTACTCCAATGTGTTGCTAAAATATTTAAATAACTTTTATTTTTCTTTAGTTTTGTTTTTACAACACAGAACTATAATTTAACAGGAAAAAATAAACAGACACATGCATATATATCATTACATACATGCACATATCAATAGGCATATACACATGAAAATATAGTTTTTTTCCCCCCAATTTCTTATTTTTTCTCAATTTCTAGATTTTTTTTCCCAACACGTTTCTAAACATAATAGTTTTAATAACTTATTTTTAATAACTGATTTATTTTATCTTTGCCATGATGACAGTAAATAATATTTGACTAGACATTTTTTAAGACACTTCTATACAGCTTAAAGTGACATTTAAAGGCTTAACTAGGTTAATCAGGTTAACTAGGCAGGTTAGGGGAATTAGGCAAGTTATTGTATAATGATGGTTTGTTTTGTAGATTATTGTAACAAAATAAAGCATAAAGGGGTTAATACTTTTGACCTTAAAATAGCTTTTTAAAAAAATTAAAACTGCTTTTATTCTAGCCAAATAGAAACAAATAAGACTTTCTCCAGAAGAAAAAAATATTATCAGGCATACTGTGAAAATGTCCTTGCTCTGTTAAAAATCATTTGGGAAATATTTAAAAGAGAAAAAAAAAAATCTAATGAGGGGTTAATAATTCTGACTTTAACTATATATATATATACACATACATACATGCACAGAGTAAAAAAAGAAAGCAAAATGCATAAGATTGCTATATCTCTTCCAATTACATTTTACTTAAATAGAGATGTCTTTATATTCCATATATCAACCGTTTTCCCAAACCTTTCTGAAAATATCCGTTTTTCCATTACATGCATTTCTTCAATTATCTCCAACCACTGCTTACATTTCAATGGTGAGTCTTTAAGCCAGTTCCTTGTTATAGTCTTTTGCTTGCTGAAATATAAACATATTATAAACCAGAGTAGTTCAATGCTGAATACACAAATTAAGCAGAATCAGCCTTTGCCTTGATTCACCCACCAGAGTCTCTGCACTATCCTCTATGCCTCGGAATACAGTATGTACATTTGAAAGAAAATCTGATTAATTTAAACCATTAAATTTAAACATTCATTTCCAGTAGTTTAATAATAAAACAAACAAATAAAAGATTACCTAAAGTTTGAAATGACAATCTCTAAACGATCACCATCATTCTCTCTCTTACTCCCTCTCTCTTACTCCCTCAGATAGTTTGGGCATCTCTGATTTAAACATTGGCTAAACTAAAATCTTGTTCAATTTTTCTTTTCCTTTACTTATTTTTTTAAATTGTTTTGTTTTCATTAGTTAAAAGTTCCTAAAAATCAATAAAGACTGTGTTAAAAATGGTCACAAATAGTTCATATTTAAAACAATATTTATAATATAATTAATACATAATGCAAAGCAGCCAAACATTTCTAAAATAATAAATACATTTTTAACAGAAATTTATTATAATAAAACTATATAAAAAAAACATTAAATAATTGAACATTTTAAAGTAAACACATTAGAATAAAAGAACACAAATAAATAAAAACTGGGCAAAGACACTATTTCATGTACTAAATAATTCATACAAAAATATGATTAAATAAATTTCAAATAAATAAATTAAACAAAATTTAATTAAGATAAATGCAACTTTAATGAAATGACTAAATAAAAGATAAATAAAACAAATAATAAAATTAAATAAATTGTCAATTACTAAAACCATATTATTATTGTAACTTTTAATGTAGGTATTAATGTAACTTCATAGAAGCTAAATACGTTCTGAATAATATTTTAGACTAGAGATGCCCAAAGTAGGGCCTGTGGGTCAAAGTTGACTCATGCTAACTTTTGATTTGGCTAAAAGTCCCAGAGGAGAGAGGGAGAATGATGGGGGGAATAGATATGACAGAGATCGTCATTTTAAATTTATTGTAGCCGTCGTTTGTTTTGTAAATGAATCAGATTTTTTAAAAATGTAAATACTGTCACACGATGAATAGATGACAAAGGCAGCTTAGTGTATTCAGCATTGAACTCTATTGCGTTATTAATGGGACTGTTTATGTTTTTACTGTAAAAAATGATTTATAGTTATTTTAATATACTGCATTAGTTAATATAAGTTAAAGCAATGTTTCTAGTTATTTTTAAATGTTAGGAAATTCTAAAAGTTTTAAATGTTAGGATCATTGAAACTTCGATGTATAACAGTTTGGTATATTAAAACAATTGTCTGCTTCTATAAGTGAAAGGGCTACAGCATTCATTAACAACAAATTAAACAAGTTGAATTTATGTATTGCATTAACAGTTTAAACATGAATTTCTGTTGTCTAATCTCTATTTTTTATACGCAAAATAGACAAGTATAAATGCCCATTAGAGAAGTTTAATTATCATTTTCATTTAGATATCCATTTAAATAGCCCTGTTTCGGTCACTGATTTCAACCTTTCAAAACAGTTTTGCTGGAAACCAATTATCAATTTTCCGCCAAATTTGTTTGGTGTCTGAAAATTTCATCCCTTTCATCACACGCATATAATTATTTTTTTATATTTATCTCTTCTTCACTCAGTTGTTTTGATTATTTTATACTGACACCTATTAGTCTGGATGTATGATGTTTACTTTATAACACTAAATAATAATAATGCAAATATTATTACTGCTTCTGTTTTAAATATTAGTCAGTCAAAACCATTTGTAACAACTGATATGTCACATTAATATGTTTACAGGATTCATATTTCTGAAAATGTCATGCTTAAGGTTCTTGCACTTAGCAAAAAATTATAGGTAGTACCTTTAAATCTTTGACTAGGATTTCAAAACAGCCTCGATATTCAAAACATATGGCAAGTGCACTTTTCTTTTCCAAACTAAAATGAGTGGAAATTATTTTCTATAGCACTTGAACTGAACCCAGAACATTCCACGAACTGTCATTATTCATCATAAAAAATGCTCTCGAATTTGTACTTGTCCCTTCATGACATTCTGAACAATAAAAGAGGAACATATTCATACAGACATCTCCGCTCAGCAGAATCTCTCATCAGAGTAAACCCAGAGCAGGAGATTAACAAAAGAAACAAACAGTACAACAATCCGCACAGTCCATAAAGCTCTCATAACTCAATAAAGGAATAAAAGAATAAAACAATAAAACGTAATCGATGTCCTCCATGCTTTAAAAACACCTTTTAATTTGGAAATGCATAAAGGGTGTCCTTCAGTGGAAGTTGCAGGGACAGTGAAAAAAGAAACTTTAAACCTTTGTAAAATAACTTTATCCATATAAGCTGCTAAGTTTTTAGGCTGCTAATATTTTGAAGAAAGCTGAAACCCTTGCTAAAGGAGATGCTAAATGAATTAATTTAGTTATGTATAAAAGTAATAAGATGCAGATAATTCTAGAAGACACTCATACCAGTGTTTGCTTTTAATACAGTTGTTTAAATGAGTAACTTGTTTTATATATGGTTTTACACTCTCTGGCCACTTTATTAGGTACATCTTACTTGCACCAGGTTGGATCCCCTTTTGCCTTCAGAACTGCCTTAATCCTTTGTGGCATAGATTTAACAAGGTACTGGAAATATTCGTCAGAGATTTTGCTCCATATTGACATGAAAACATCCTGCAGTTGCTGCAGATTTGTTGGCTGCACATCCATCATGGGAATCTCCTGTTTCTCCACATACCAAGGGTGCTCTATTGTATTGTGATCCAGTGACTGTGGAGGTCATTTGAGTACAGTGAACTCATTGACATGTTCAAGTAACCAGTCTGAGATGATTTGCACTATATGAAATGGTGCGTTATCCTGCTAGAAGTAGCCATCAGAAGATGAGTACACTGTTGTCTTAACTGTGGGATGGACATGGTCAGCATGGACATGGTCAGATGGACATGGTCAGCAACAATATTCAATTGCTCAATTGGTACTTATAGGCACAAAGTGTGTCAAGAAAATATCCCCACACCACCACCAACAGCCTGAACTGTTGATACAAGGCAGGATGGATCCATGTGATGTTCGTGATGCCTAATTATGCCCCTAACATCCGAATGTCTCAGCAGAAATTAGACTCATCAGACTAGGTAACGTTTTTCCAATCGTCTATTGTCCAATTTTGGTCAGTTTCCTGTTCTCAGCTGGCAGGAACAGCACCTGGTCTTCTGGTCTTCTGCTGCTGTAGCCCATCCGCCTCAAGATTGGACGTGTTTGGTGTTCAGAAATGCTCTTCTGCATATCTTGGTTGTAACAAGTAATTTGAGTTACTTTTGCTTTTTTTCACCAGTCTGGCCATTTTCCTCTGACATCTGGCATCATCAAGGCATTTGCGCCCACAGAACTGCCGCTCACTGGATATTTTCTCTTTTTTAGACAATTCTCTGTAAATCCTAGAGATGGTTGTTTGAAAATCTCAGTAGATCAGCAGTTTCTAAAATACTTAGACCAGCCTGTCTGGCACCAACAACCATGACACATTCAAAGGTTCTTATATCACCTTTCTTTCCGATTGTGATGCTCAGTTTAAACTGCACTAGGTTGTCTTGACCATGTCTACATGCCTAAATGCATTAAGTTGCTGCCATGTGATTGGCTGATTAGAAATTTGTGTCAACAAGCAGTTGGACAGGTGTACCTATTAAAGTGGCCGGTGAGTGTATATATCCAAGCTAACCTCAAACTTAGTGTAAACACTTCTGTACAATAAAAATGTAAAATATTTTACTTAGGAAGAATTGTCTGCAAAATATATGCATCATTTTCCCACAAAGCTTCAAAGGAAACCTAAAAGACTTTACATCTATTCATTCATTTTCTTTTGGCTTAGTCCCTTCATTAATCAGGGGTCGCCACAGTGTAATGAATCGCCAACTTATCCAGCATATGTTTTATGTAGCGGATGTCCTTCCAGCTGCAACCCATCACTTGGAAACATCCACACACACTCATTTACACCCATACACTACAGACAATTTAGCTTACCCAATTCACCTATGGCGCAGGTCTTTAGACTTGTGGGAGAAACCGGAGCACCTGGAGGAAACCCACACAAACACGGAGAGAGCATGCAAACTCCACACAGAAATGCCAACTGACCCAGCCAGCGCTCAAACCAGCAACTTCCTTGCTGTGAGGCGATTGTTCTACCAACTGCGCCACCGTGCTGCCCAAATCAGACCATTGCCTTGGATTTCTAAAGGTGTTACACACACAAATTTCCAAACATCCACTATCGCTGCGATGATGTCATATTCAGCACATGCACTCTTATATGCACCCTTAGTATAAACCAGGCTTTAAGTGTGAGTAAATAGTGAGTAGTTTTTCATTTTTGGGTGAACTATCCCTTTAAGAATCTGTTGCATGTTCTTTAAAATATTCAAATAAAACTCACAGCCTGCCAAAATGTTAATAAATTAATTTAGTTTTTAACTTTTCCATTTTTTAATAGCACTCTCATACATTGACAAAACTTTTTAATAATCTCAGCTGAAATGTGCCACATCACAAACTATTAAAATCAAACTGAGGATTTATAACAGCTTGTCCTAAATTCAGGCATAATTAGTTCTGGAGTAGTCCTGGAGAATAACTACCCATTATGCTTTTATGAAAACATTCTAATTATTAAGAGTCATGTGTTCGTATGCCATTTCCATAAACAGACAGTTGTTTTACTTAGACATTTCAAGTTCTTCAAGTTCTAGTATGTTTTGAGAATACAATGAAGTCTTTTATCTAAGCATCAAGAATAATGGGACTCCACACGATAACAAGCCTTTAAGCATTTAAGCCAGCATGAATCATATCCTTCTGAAATCTTTCAAAGTGTACCAAAGCCCTCTTTTGAACAGTTCTTCTCTTATCCTGTCATGTTAGAATATTACTATTCAGCCCAATGAAATAGAAGCTTCAAATGTCAATTTGAAGGTCAGTAATGTTTGTGGTCTTCTTAGGAATTGAGCCAGTTACAGTACATCCAAAACAGCAATCAGTTTCCTCTTTGAACCACTCTAGAATAGTGTTGGGCGAACTATGGTGCACAAAAAGCCCATCGGGAACAGTCATGCAGCCTGTGAGGCAATTTGTTTAAATAATACATGATTGTCAGTGGAATTAAGTGTTTGGACTAAAATGACTAATTTGATGTAATATTAAAAAATGTATTAGATGGCGCATGTATAGATGTCCAGTGCGTAATAATTCAGTAGGGCTGCTCGAGTATGGGTAGTCATAGGGCCTACTCGCACTGTGCTATCCGTACCGTGCCCAGGCCCGTTTTCCATATCGTTTGAGAAGTGTGATTGCGCTAAATCAGGCTCAGAGAGTGGTTCATTTGGGCTTCGGCGCAGTACGCTTGTGTGTGAGTGCAAAACGAGCCAAAGCCCGAAAGTGAAAGCAAGATGTGACTTTTAAGGGGCTGTTTCATATGGATTTATTAATCATTCTTACTGTTTAGTGAACGCAAACTGCCGTAGTTTATTAAATTCGCAAACCCCCCACTGCATGACAGCTGCGCACCTTCAGCAAACCTAATTCCTGAAGCACGAGGCTTTATGATTGTTCATAAGTGTCAAAAGTGGCTGATGTGTTCGGCGAAATATCTGACTGCGTGTCACCACATCGGACTAAAGCGATATAACTAGAGAAATCTCCACTGTGCTAAGCGAGAACGCTTACTGAACAGCGCAGCATCGATGATGTAAGCGTGCCAAGGCCCGATTGTAATGTGAGTGCGGGCCGTCGGGGGAAATGGGAGGGGGACAAGCGTGCTTTGGCCCGGTTCGAGGCAACTGTACACAGTGTAAGCACGCCCATAATTGTAATCCTGATTATTTATTATTGAGCCATATATCCAGTACAAGGTTTTGTACTGAATATTCATACATCCTCTTGTATGTAAGGTTGATAGTACACCTATACATTCAAAAGATCATTCAGGGTGCTTTCACAGGGATTAAAATTGCTACATTGTTGCTCTTTGCTCTTGGTGCGTTTCCCTTTCACACTGCAAAGTTTCTAAACGGACCAAAAGAGCTAAAACAAGTCATGTGTCAGTAAACTCTCCTCACATTGGTCAGAGTTTCACGGTTTATTTTGCAGAGTCCCGCTCAGCTGACGGGGGGGTGATGGTTTGGTGGTGTTTGACAAGGTGCGCGTGACGTGTCTGAAGAGCGAGGAGGGATGCGGTGGGGAGGGGTAAGAAGGGTGCACGACGTATTTGAGGAACGGGAGGGAGACGCCTGATTACCAGGAGATTATCATTAATTTGTGGGCATCCTGGAGTCTCTGTGCATTTGCGAGAGACTACCAAAACTTCCGGGAGACTTGGGATGTCTGTAGAATGACCTCCCGCCCTACTCATAACTCTAACTTCATATAGCCGTATGCCTATTACATATCCATAAAACACTGTGAAATAACCGGGCTCAGATCCTTTGCTTTCTCACTACAATCGATCCGCTCCAAAGTTCATTTCAATCGAGCCGAGACCACCTCATTCAAGCGATCTCGAAGCGATTGTTTTGTCGCGGATCCGAGCGTGATTGGTGGTTTCACATGTGCCAAACAAACCTCACTTACTGGGCAAACGAGACAGGTTCCGAAACAAAAGTACAGCTGTGAAAGCACCCTTAGTTTCACAATTTGTAATGCTGATGCAGAATAGGACAAACTAAGAAAAAACAGAAACATAGGCCCAATCCCAATTCTATTTTTGTACCCCATCCCCTTCCCCTTGGCCCTTAAAACCGAGTGTGAATTGGATTTTATTCATTGTATTTTCACTACAATTATTCATTTTAATTCAGACTGTCTGTTGTTTTTGTTCATATCTTAAAATTAGACTGAACTTTTCTGCACTTTTGCAAATATTAAATGACAATAAACATTGTGAATAAAAAAAGAAGTCAACCATTTGTAAGCCAACCAACCAACTTTAAAATATGGTCATCATTGTTAATGTAATATTTTTTTTCTTTATGCATGAAAAATCTGACTAAGGGTCTGAGAATAGGGTTATGGTATGATCTTACTTTTCCATAATGTTATAATCTTATGACTTCGGATTCAAGCGACACTTGTTTTCATGAGAAAGAGATAAGAGAATGTCTCCATTTCAAAGTCTGTATTGTCTCTGGACAGTGTTGTATAGCTGTCATTTTCCATTGCTGTTGCTTGTGGTATATTACCACTTGTTGAATTTATCATGACCAGACAAATTCTGAACATTGAATCATATGCAACTAAGATTATTTATAAACTATACTCTTTCTTTATCATCATTACTTTGTCTCCTGCTACTGCTTCTCTCTGGTTTTCTCAGTCAACTCCTATATTGATAGGAAACTGTTGATTTAGTTGAATACGGGTTAACAGGTTTGGGTATTGGGTGGCTGTGCTAGCTTGTTGTCTGGATACTCAGAAAAACAGACATTTCCTGACTGGAACTGGCGTCCAGGGCTCTTATTTATCTGGCGTGAAGAGTGTGATCTAACACCAGTTGCATGTGTTAAAAAACAACTGACCTTTAAATCTTGTCTGCCTAAGTCTTTCTAAGGCCTCAGGGGTCATTAAAGATTTTGAATGTTAAAGTAGAGGTCTCCTGGAAAAAAACTCTGCTCTAGAAGATAGAGACGTACCTTAGACTGGATAGCGCGCAGGTTGACCAGATGCATGTCGCAGGGGAAGGAGGCTTTCAGAGGGCTGTAGGGGACCACAGATGGAGCTTCCAAGTGTTGACTAACTGCCATTGAGATGAGAGGATGGTTCAGGTACATGTACGACATGTGGCTCAGGATAGATGGATAGCTGTATGGTGCCGTCGCTTCATTCTGGGTAAAATACAGGAAAGTGAAACATCAGCACAGACTTATTTGTCTTATAAACCTGGAAACTACGCAAGGATGTGATTCTGCATTAGCACAAATAGTCTTTTATATATGACTGGCATGGCCTTCTAGGCAAGCAAGTTAGTCTAAATTAAACTCAGAAATTTATGCAAAATAACACTTAACTTTAATCACCTGATTAAGTATTGTGATTTGTCATATCAAAGCCAGTTTCTAATATGTTATTAAAAATGTAAATAATATATAAAGCTTGCATTCAGTCATACTGGCAGGATGTAATGTAAATAATAGTATTAGTATAGTATTTTTGATGATGGAATAAATCTTTCTTTTACAACAATTAACCTGGAAAATACTGCAGCCAACTTAATGGTAAAAGACCAGAATTTAATAAAAATACTTTTAGCAACCTCAAGCCTCGAAAGTGGCTACAGCTCGAACCTCCTACAAAATCTGAATGGCTGGATATTGTATCTAATGTTCAAAATATGAGGATGACTTTTTCATTAAAACTACAAACAGACAAATACCTGCAATATTGGGGAAATTGATTGTACTTATGCCGTTACACAGTATAAACTGATCTTTATATGTATTTGTTAATGTGACCCGTAAGGAAATATGTGACCAGTCAACTGTTCCAAAAGTTCCAATGTGTTGTCTTATTTTCAAATTTTGTTATCAATGTTTTGTGTGTGTGAGTATATATATATATATATATATATATATATATATATATATATATATATATATATATATATATATATATATATATATATATATATATATATATATATATATATATATATATATATTTATAGAGTTGAAGTCAGTATAATTAGCCCCTCTTTGATTTATTTTTAATTTTTTTTTATGTTTCCCAAATGATGTTCAACAGAGCAAGGACATTTTCACAGTATGTCTGATAATATATATATATATATATATATATATATATATATATATTTTTTTTTTCTGGAGAAAGTCTTATTTGTTTTTATTTGTATTTTTTCCGGCTACAATAAAAGCAGTTTAAATTTTTTAAAAGTCATTTTATGGACAATATTATTAGCCCCTTTAAGATATATTTTTTTCGATAGTCTACAGAACAAACCATCGCTATACAATAACTTGCCTAATTACGATAACCTGCCTAGTTAACCTGATTAACCTAGTTAAGCCTTTAAATGTCTAGTCAAATATTACTGTCATCATGGCAAAGAGAAAATAAATAAGTTATTGGAAATGAGTTAATAAATCGATCATGTTTATAAATGTGTTGACAAAAAATCTTTTTCCCGTAAACAGAAACTGGGTAAAAAAATTATATTAAACTAATAATTCTGACTTCAACATATATACATTTAATATTATTTCAAACTTTTATTTCACAAAACATTTTTCATTTTGTACTCAGAAGTACAAAAAGTAACCTTAAAATTCTGAGATTTATTCTTTTATTGATAAAATTTATTTTTTTTTTATTATTGACTTGTTACACATGAGAAGTAATTTCCAAAGCATGAAAATTTCATAAAAAATACAATCACAACTTTATCTCACAATTCCAATTTATGTCTTTGCAGTTCAGAGAAAAGCATTGCAAGACACAAACTTAGAACTCTGAGTGGAAAAGTCTGAATTGTGAAAAACAATCATAAGAAAAGGAGTACGAGTTGATATAAAGTATCATAGTTGTAGTATTGTAGTAGTATTGTAATGTAGTATTATAGTTGTTTTTCCACTGTTGTTTTGTGACATTCACAAGCCTGTTTATTCGCATGGCATTAACTCACTAACCTGCAAAAATTGCTTTTCTTACTTCTTGTTTCTAGTTCAAATATCTAAAGATTCTTCAATCAAGAAGCATTTTCTAGACGAGCAAAAAATTCTCGTCTTGGAAAAAAAGTATAATATAATATAATATAATATAATATAATATAATATAATATAATATAATATAATATAATATAAGCCAAAATTGTTATATATATATATATATATATATATATATATATATATATATATATATATATATATATATATATATATATACCCCATTTTCAAAATTTTCTGACAGGAAACAAGATTTGAATTTAGCAGCTGATCAGGCTACACACTGAACATTGAAATCACACCGGTGTGAGTGTACATTGTAGGAACCAGCCAAGACTGATCAGATTGATGTGATCATATGCACCAAAGAATAAATGCACATTAGTTCTGTTTTAATTCAATCATCTGTCCGTCCTGATTACCTCCTCCACAGAGATCCTCTTCTCCAGCAGCAGGCGGAAGGAGTTGGCTGTGATCTTGTTGTCCAGCACTCCCTGTCCCAACCCTCGATTGTCATCCTGATTGAGCCTGCGGTCCATTATCACCTCCAGCTGACCTGTGGAAACCACACTAATGAGCTTCAGCAGGACATCACATGTACTTCATCCGAACACTGATTGATGACATGTAGAAATCATGTGTGAGTCTCACGTTTGAGCACCATCTATGTTTATATAAACTTGACACTTGACAGATTGTATTTTATAGACAAAAGCACTTCACAGTCAACAATGGAGTGTTTTTTAACCTCTAATTCACATACACCTAAAGCAGTGCTTTATTTATTATTTATTTATTTATGTAAGGCCGTGTATATTGAAGCATACCTCGAAGGATAGTTGTTAGTGTGTTTGATTGATAGGCTGCCAAATCATTTTGCTGCAGCATTAGGCTGGCACGTGGTATTTATTTATCTGAGAGGGATATCATCATTATAAAGAGCTTTTTACTGAATAAATATCAAATGTATACGTCCTTGAGAATACGATTCTAGCTCATTTTCCAGGGGAGGAAAGCTGCATATTATAAAAATTGATGTGCTTGAAGTAATTTTTGTTTTATGAGTACATCAGCATACCCAGCAGGGTCCAAATGTCTAAAAGCAAAGTACATGAAATGCTACTGTTTTGTGCTTTTATGTGATCAGCGTAACAATATGAGTGAGAGCTTCTCTAGTAAACTAGAAAATCTTGGTACTGGGTTCCTTCTTTAGGTGATTTGTGCCAATCATGTTCTTCAGCATACATAAACTGACACAAGAAATCTCTCAATCAGTGGCTAAAAGTTCTATAATACAAGGCATCCTTACAACACCATGATTTAAGCATGATATATACAAAAACATGTAATTAAATAAATTAAAAACTATTAATTATAATTATAATTTTTAATATTTACCAAATGATGTTTAGCAGAGCAAGAACATTTTCACAGTATGTTTGATAATATTTTTTCTTCAGTCGTATTTGAAAGTCGTATTTGGTTTATTTCGGCTAGAATAAAAGCAGTTATTAATTAAAATTAAAAGTTATTTGAAATGAGTTATCAAAAATATTATGTTAAGAAATGTGTTGAAAAAGATCTCTCAGAATTTTGGTGGGAAAAAAAAACAAGGGGGCTAATAATTCTGACTTCAACTGTATATATAAATAATATATATATGTATATATATGTATATGTATATATATATATATATATATATATATATATATATATATATATATATATATATATATATATATATATGTGTGTGTGTGTGTGTGTAAAGAGTTTAGATCCTGCACTCCCTCGTGAAGCCAATACAGAAGTAACTGAAATGGCAATTTGTCGACTGGCCTTTGGGGGTTGGCTCCAAGAACTCTAAATGTTCACTCACTGCAATGCTAAATTGGCGAATTTTACAGCTAATAAAACATGTTTACAGCCTGGTATAAAGGATGGTTTTGGTATATATACTGTGAGGAGGTAAATTTTTTTTTTAACTCATCCATTTCGTTTTATTTTATTATTATATTAAGTTTGCATAATTAAGTCCTATTGAGTCTGCATAATCACTTGAGTGACAGCTAGGTCTTGTTGGTTGCAGTCACATCACCTCAGCTGATTCCGGCTAATTAGCCGCTGAACTCAGCATATACATTGCATTTTTGTTTTGCTTTTATGTGGTTTTACACAGTCAGTTGCCTTATGGAATTATTTCCTACGATAATCAGATAATATTGCTCACAAACCATTTAAGTGGCCTTTATTTTGCAGGTCAGTGCAATTTATATATACTTGTATATCATTAGTTAATTAATTCATTCATTCATTTTTTTGTCAGCTTAGTCCCTTTATTAATCTGGGGTCGCCACAGCGGAATGAACCGCCAACTTATCCAGCACATTTTTACGCAGAGGATGCCCTTCCAGCTGCAGCCCATCTCTGGGAAACATCCACACACACATTCACACACACACTCATACACTATAGACAATTTTTTTTCTTTTTTCCAGCACTCTTCAGAATATTCAGAACTTATATTTAATTTATATTAAATCAATTCAAAGAAATGTTCTTTTTTGGGTAAACTATCCCTTTAATTAAATTCTATCAATGTATTTCACTCATATTTGTGGGTATTTAAAAAAAAAGTTATATGAAATCTGTGCTGCTGAGTTCAAGGAGATTTCCAGTTCCCAGCATTTTTTCTGTCAGACTGAATAAGAAAAATAAATGTTGAAATTAGGTGTTATTGTTTAAAATGTGTTTGTTTTACTACTAGAATGATGTTGTAGTACAAAATAAAAATGTAAAGTTCCACTATGAGTTAGCTTACTAAAAACATTTATGGTAACTGATTGGCTCAACATATTTTAGTAATCTTAAATTCTGTGTCAAATGATCCATCAGAAATCATTCAAATTGGTGCACTTAAACACTTTAGTTTAAGTAACACTTCACACCATTTACTACTGGCTTATTACCCGTCTATTATTAAGATATGAACTGTTCATTAGCACTTATCAAATATGATCTCCAATTCTACCCATTACCTAAAGACAACTACTACCTTAACTAACTAATGATAAGCAGCTAATTAGTAGTTTATTGAGCTTGACATATATATATAGTTCTATCTGTTCCTCAAATCTGATTTGGCTGATAGACGTGCGATACTCTGCAATAACAGCACTAATACAGCCTCTACACCCTTGTGTATTACTCCGCCCACATAGAGTGCTAAGCAGCAAGCTAAACTAACTCACTACAGTTTAACAAATATTGCAGCTGTTGGACAACATGATGTAATTTTGGGGCTTTTTTTTAAGCCTGAATGTAGTTATTTAGATTGCAACTACGCAGTTTATTTATAAGAATAGTGCCTATTTTAAATATTTATAATTTCAGAGATCGGCGGCCATCAGTTTGTCATAGCAAAGATGGTTGACGTTGGTCAACCAGAGCAAAGATGGTTGAGGTTGGTCAACCAGAGCAAATGTTTTGTGATGGTTGACGTTTTGCCACAAGATGGCAACAGAGATCGCATAATCAGCTCTTAGGGGAGAAAAACTCAACGTAATTTCAAACTGTAGTTAATCAAATCATTATAAAATAAAATAAGCAAAGTAGTTTCTCTTACAAAAGAATATTTGAGACTTTCCGTATTTAATTAAATTTTTTATACAGACGATTATGATGTCAAACTGTTGTATAAATGCAGTATCACACTCGTAGCAGTGCGATATGGCTATATAATGTCACTGGCGGGACACACAACCAGCCATATCGCACTGCTACGGGTGCGATATTGCTATATATGGTACTATTTTTAAAGTTAATTATTAAAATAAAATATGACCATTATTAAATTAAACATTAAAATAAAATATGACAAATTCTTATTATAATCAATGCTGAAAACACCCGGTCTGCTTAATATTTTGTCAGCAATTGTACTTTGGTAAGATGTAAATGAATAAATCTCACTTATACCAACATTTCTAATTGGTAAAATACATTATTAACGTATCAATTACCATTTGAATAGGTATATTTAAATAAGAAAAAATTCCAATATCTAAGCTTTTCAACTCAAGCATTTGTGAGGCCATTATTCATTAAAATAATACTTTTTTTTCTAAATTTCTGGATCTTCGATGGCCTCTAACAAACATGGGGTAAACCCTCCATTAGTGTATACTTGAGGTTTTTAAACAAAAGGAAAGCTTGAAGCACTTGTGAGTGAGTGAAGACTGACCGCTTTTAAGGCTGGCCGCTCCAAGCGACTGTGCAGTGAGCAGCGAGAGTCTGGCGCTGGAGTCCTGCAGGTAAAGCATGCTGGTCATGGGGTAGAAGTTTGCCTGCAGGGGGAGTTTAGCCATGGTTTTCCTCGGCTGCACCTGGAAAAACAGCCCAAGGCAATTTGAACACTGCAGAGAGGAAAGATTCCAAATTCTCCTTGTTCAGAGAATTGCAAACATGGAGTGTGGGCATGTGGAGACACTTCTCTGAAAGAAAAACACTGTAAATTGATGAGCTCCAATGTGTGTGTGTGTGTGTGTGTGTGTGTGTTGATGTGACTTGGAGGAAAAATGGATGGGATATTCCACTGTTTTTATTCATGAGGCATTTGTTTTGTGAAGCCAGTTAATTAGTTTGGACCGAAGAGAAGCTCTTAATCCCGGCCAAGACCAGGGAAACATTATCAGCTAATTAAATGCCACGCTAATACTCCAGCATGTCAAGAAAACATGACAGAGTGATTTAAAGTGACACTTGTTTGTTTTGGTCAGCTCTACAGCGCACACTCCAAACTTTTTTTTCTTATTTTGATTAATTATTTGTCGAGAGAAATGAAAAATGAACTGACATTTTCATTATGCCATCCAAAAACAACCAGGCATTTTGACACGATCAAAAGAAATCAAACAAGACTGTCAAAACAATGTCCTCAAATTAATTAACTAACTACGGCAGACTGCTTTGTTGATTAGTGTTACTGGCCAGTAAACAATATTAGTTCAGCTAGCAGTTTGTATCCACAATTTGAGATCACGTATTTAAAAGAACACTCTATTTTCTTTGGAAAAAGCCTAATTTTACAAGTTAAACAGTTTTTAAAACACTTTTAGCTTAGTTTAGCACAAATCATTGAATCGTATTAGACCATTAGCAACTCTCTCAAAAATTAGGTAAATAATTCAATAACTTTCTTATTAAAAGACTCTTCTAATGTTACATTGTGTACTAAGACCAACAGAAAATTAAAAGTTTTCTAGGTCTATATGGCTATGAAAATACTCAAAAATAGCAAAGTTCCTTGATTATTATTACACCAGGAGGAGAGCATATTTCCTACCCGTATCAACCAACACTCTCAGAAATTAGGGTACGCAAGCTGTCACTGGGGTGATACCTTTTTAAAAGGTACAAATTTGTACCTTAAAGGTTCATATTGATGCCTCAAGAGTACAAAATAGTACCTAAAAAGTACTAAAGTGTTCCTCTTAAATTTTTTAGCTACTAATATATATTTTTAGGGTACCAATATGCACTCTTTAAGTACAAATGTGTGCATTTTGAACAGGTGCCTTTTCTTTCATTGTCTTAGTATACAATGTACAGAAGAATCAAGCTATAAATAAGAGAGTTATATGGTAATGGTCTTATCTGATTCAACGAATTATGCTAAGCTAAGATAAGCTAAAAGTGCTCCCGCCAGACCCTGGGATCAGCTGAATGGATTAAAAAAATGGTAAATCAACTGTAAGACATTTGTATAATGAGACTACAGTGGTCCCTAGCTATTCGCAAGAGTTACGTTCTAAAAATAACGCAATAGGCGAAATCTGCGAAGTAGTGAGCTTTATTTTTTACAATTGTTCTAGATGTTTTAAGGCTGTAAAACACCTCACTACACACTTTATACACTTTTCTCAAACAAGCATTGAAATTTTCACACTTTTGTCTCTTGTTTAAACACTCTCAAAGTTTACATTTTCATAGAAAGATAAGTCCAGTATTGTAGAATAAAACCAAAGATCAAAACTGTTGTCAGGCCCAAACAATCATCACTGTCAGCAAAAGGTTCATTCAACGTTTTAGCTTTTAATGCTGGCATCCAGCATAAATTTTTTTTTTATGTTTACATGACAGTTGGAAGTAACACACACCAGACGCACACATTTGCATGTTATTCAAAATGAAATTATTCAGATGGCGCTCTGTGGTGCAATAAATATATGAACAGTGTTCTGAGTCGTAGCTGGGGGAACCGACTTGCAACACTGGCGTGCATACCCATAAACCTATGTTTACAATTAAAAAATGCATGCCGCTGTGTGGAGCGGTGAATCCGCTGTGCGACCCCCTACATCAGGTGTCACCAATCTCGTTCTTGGAGGTCCGGTGCCCTGCAGGGTTTAGCTCTAACTTGCCTCAACACACCTGCCTTGGTGGTTCAAGTATACTTAGTAGGACCTTGAATAGCTTGTTCAGGTGTGTTTGATTAGGGTTGGAGCTAAAATCTACAGGACACCGGACCTTCAGGAACAAGTTTGGTGATTCCCGCCCTACATAATGTCTTGCTGCCGACAGTTGCCACATTTTTTGCATCCTTGTTGAAATTCACACTGCTAGCGATCAAAGATTTATGTTTGGCAAGCTGAATGCATACTGTACAGTAAAGAAGACACAGAGATTGATTGACAATGATCTACAGCCAATCAGGATGCAGTAAATGTGCTGTAAAAGAAGCATGTCAAATTGCACAAAAAAAAAAAAACATTGTGAAACTGCGAGGGTGTGAAAGGTGAACCGCGTTATACCGAGGGACCACTTTATTTCCAAAAAAGTGTAGTGTTTCTTTAACTTCAGCAACATCATGTCTCATCATTAAATGTCTTTCACTCTCATTCAGCTGTGTCATCTTAATTCAGACACTGATGAATATTTGGTTTCATCACACTTGTAGTGTGTGACCAGCTAATAAAAGCAGCTTCTGTTTATTCATTTCTTTTAATTTATTCATAAAGCTGCACATGCAGACCAAAGTGCTGTACAAACAACACGCGCACACATACAAAAAAAAAACTATACCAATTAAAATATAAGCACTAGCACATCTCTTCAAACTGTAATGAAAAGAGTACACATTACAGTAATTTGCTTTTTGGCAATAGTGGGTTATGGTTTTTTCATGATATTTGTTAACTTTAGGGAAACGAGGCCAAAATTATGCTTTTTTTTCTTCAATATTCATACATATTAGTCATTATATATGCATGTACTCATTTTAAAAGCTTGGGATCAGGAAGATGTATGTGTATGAAAAACAAAAGATCTGCAGCATTGTTTAATATTATTACAATTTCAAATAGCTGTTCTCTATCTGAATATATTTTATATTTTAATTAATACCTGTGGCAAATGGCAAAGCAGAATTCTCAGCAAGTGCTCCAGTTTTCTTATTCACACAATCCTTCAGAAAAATTTATAATGTGCTGCTTCAAAGTATATAAAAATATTGCATAATATATTTGTGAAAAAATATATTTGTGTATTGTTTGTTGAATGAAAAGTATAAAATGTGTCTAAAAATACTAAACTAAATTAATTTGTTACATGACAAATGTATTTATAGTCTCTTTTAATCATTAATAATCAATTATAAATAATGTTAATCTCTCAAAAATATTAATCTCTTATTAAATTTAATCATTGCACATTTTAAATATTACATACAGTGCATTCGGAAAGTATTCATAGCGCTTCACTTTTTCAACAGTTTTATGTTACAGCCTTATTGCAAAATGGATTAAATTAATTTATTTCCTCAAAATTCTTCACACAATACCCCATAATGTCAATGTGAACAAAAGATAGTTTGAAACGGTTGCAAATTTATTAAAAATAAAAAAGCTGTAAAATCAAGTTCCTAAGTATTCACAGCCTTTGTTGTAAAGCTCTAAATTGAGCTCAGGTACATTCTGTTTCCACTGATCATTCTTGAGATGTTTCAGCAGCTTAATTGAAGTTCACCTGTGGTAAATTTAGTTGATTGGACATGATTTGAAAAGGCATACACCTGTCTATATAAGGTCCCAGGGTTGACAGTGCATGTTAAAGCACAAACCAAGCATGAAGACAAAGGAATTGTCTCTAGGCCTCTGAGACAGGATTGTCTGGAGGCACAAGGCTGGGGAAGGTTACAGAATAATTTCTGCTGCTCTGAAAGTTCCAATGAGCACAGTGACTCTTCCTTGAGCTGGCTGGCCATCTAAGCTGAGTGATCGGGGGAGAAGGGCTTAAGTCAGGGAGGTGATTGATAACTCGATGGTCACTCTGTCTGAGCTCCAGTGCTCTTCTATGGAGAGTGGAGAACTTTACAGATGAATAACCATCTGTCCAGCAATCCACCTATCATGTCTGCATGGTAGAATGTCCAGACGGAAGCCACTCCCCACCTGGAATTTGCCAAAAGGTGTTTAAGGGACTTTCAGACCATATGAAACTAAATTCTCTGGTCTGATGAGATTAAAATTGATCTCTTTGGAGTGAATGACAGGCGTTATGTTTGAAGAAAATCAGGCATCGCTCATCACCAGGCTAATACCATTCCAACAGTGAACCATGGTGGTGGCAGCATCATGCTGTGGGATGTTAATCAGCAGCAGGAACTGAAAAACTAGTCAGGATATATGGAAAGATGAATGCAGCAATGACACATCCTGCATGAAAACCTGCTTCAGAGTGCTCTTGACCTCAGACTTGGGCAACGGTTCATCTCCCAGCAGGACAATGACCTAAAGCACAACTTTAGAATATCCATGGAGTGGCTTCACAACAACTCGGTGAATGTCCTTGAGTGGCTCAGGCAGAGCCCAGACTTAAATCTTATTGAACATGTGTGGAGAGATCTGAAAATGAGTGTACACCGTCACTTTCCAACCAATTTGATAGAGCTTGAGAGGTACCAAAGAGCTTAGAATGACCAAGAGGCAACACTCTAGTGCAGTGGTTCTCAAACTGTGGTACGCGTACCACTAGTGGTACGCGGGCTTCCTCCTAGTGGTACGCGGAGGAATCGCTGAATAATGAAAGAAACAATTAACACTTTTAATCCTTTAATGCGTAATATAACATTGATGTGATCAGCATTGGCTGTTTTGTGAAGCGTACGATCACAGCGCTGTGCTTGGAGTGTTTATTTTAGTGCATTGTGTCATAAGCTGCTGAAAATCAGTTTCCGAAGTTTAAGAATTGATTCTGAAGCGTGATTTGACTGACATGAAAAGTGGCCAATCACAGTCGACCTTGTCTAGTTGCGTGAAACGTAAGGGCGGGACAAAGGCTTTCTGTGTTGCAGAGACAGAAAAACAACTTAAAAACAAATGTTTTGTTGGAATAATGCTTCTCGGATGTTTTCACTACAGAGATGTCTAGCAGAGTAATTAAACCGCGGACATATTTCCTGCCTATTTGATGATCTTCATACACGTTTCGCTCTCCGACAGCCAGTCGACTCGCCTCTGACCTGTCACTCCTCTACATACATTCTGAAAAAAGAATTATGCTGGAAATGTTTCTGGATGAGGTATTTGTGTAATTTATACATTTAGCTGTATTCTGATCTGTCCTAAAGCATTACAGGTCAAAGCAATCTATTGTTAGCCTACTTATTGTGTATTTATCACAATTTACAATAAGGCTCTTAAAGCACTGCTTTGATAAATGTAGTGTCGTCATATTTCAAATACCTCAAGTAAAATGAAGTCATTTGTTTTATTTTTTTTTTTTTAACTGACAGTGTACTTGTATTTTTTTACGTTTCTATTTTAGATTAAGATCAAGTGTAAAATAAAATCTACATGTGATGTACAGCTATTTAAGAAACAAATTTGCCATATTGTAAATAAAATAGTGTAAAATATGTAAATAAAAGGCTAAATTTAAATCTTTTTACCATATACTTTAATTTAACCTTTCAAAGCTTAAAAATATATATTTTTAAAAATGGGCAAAAAGTGTCTCTATATGGCCTTAAAGATTATTTGGTAGTTTTACCAGTGCTATTGAAAAAGATTAATTGTCATGAAAGGAAAAATTGACTATACTTCCTTTGTTAGTGCAAATTATACATCTAGCTTTGGGATGTAAGCAATCAAACCATTAAATCAGGTTTACACTTAAAAAAAAGTGATTTCATAATGAAAATCAGATTTTTTTTCAAAAGTAACCAACTAGTACTTTTTAAAAGAGTAATTTGTATACCTAATATTAGTATTATTTACTAAAATCTTTGTTATTTTAGCAGTGTAATAGTATTTTTACTTGAGCACAAAAAAGATTTCACAAGCACTTAGTGCAGGTTTATTATATTATTAATATATGATTAATAAATATTATTATTAATGGTTTTTATTTGTATCTATTCTTATGCAATGTTTTATGGGTTGCTGAGAATACATTTCAGGTCTTCAATGCATAGCATGTCAGTCTTGAAAAAAAATAGGTGCTGGAATTGATTTTCATTAGGCTGTGCCTGTATGAACCCTGTCATATACATTTAACATTTATTTCAAGATTTGTCAGAAAGTGTAGGAATATGACATATAGCCTATATTTATAAGGTCCAAGCAGCATCTCCAGCTTTTGATGAATAGGCTACTATGAATACTTTAGATTTAAGTACAGCAGTTTTCTTTTTACTTTTTAAGAACAGCGCCATTTTTTAACGAACTTTTAAAAGCACATTTTAACTAAAACTTTTTTTTTTAAAATCTGCAAGCACAGTTAATGTTCAGACTATTTCAAATGTTTAAAGTGACTGACAATAATACATATTCTTACTAATAGGAAGTAATCTGCATCGTTTTAAAACTGTGCACACCTGTAGCTGCTTAATTAGGCTTACGACGCTATTTTTTAATACTGGTCAAAAAATAGCGTCGTAAGGTGGTACTTGGAGAGACGATTTTTTTCTAAGGTGGTACTTGGTGAAAAAAGTTTGAGAACCACTGCTCTAGTGTAATTTGGGAAACAGCTACTAGAGGGTGCGGCGGCCATTTTGGAATGAAAACTCCAATAGAACAACAGCATAATATAAGTCTGTAAAATAAACTATTAAATGTGCTGATGATTGTGATAAGTGTTGTATTGTCGTCTTTCAGGTTATATCTCAGCTTTAATGCGCTTTTTAAATAAATAAATAAAAAACAAAGCAGCTGCTTGCCATCGCAACAGTAATGAGATCCAATGGACGACCGATCACTTTCACTCCAAAATGACGAAATCCAGGGCTGTTGCTGGGCGCTGCTGTTGCAAAGGAACGTTCTATTGAGTGTCGCCTCTTGGTCATTCTAAGCGCTTTGGAGGTACTGCAAAGAGGAATGGGCAAATATTCCCAAAGACAGGTGTGCCAAGCTTGTGGCATCACATTGAAAAAGACTTGAGGCTGTAATTGCTGCCAAAGGTCCATCAACAAAGTATTGAGCAAAGCCTGTGAATACTTCTGTACATGTGAGTTTTCAGGTTTTTTATTTTTAATAAATTTGCAACAATTTATATATATATATATATATATATAATTAAAACAAATCGAAATGAGAACTACTGAATCAGAATCAAACTAAATAAACACAACTGATTCAACACCCAGCTCAAACCAACACCATGTTTGATGTGATAAATATGGGCATAATTACAGAATAAAAACAGTATATGGTTTCCTACCTGGTAGCCATTGAGGTCAGTAAAAAATCGATCCTTGCTGTTTAGATCTGAAGTTATCCTCATTGCAATTTCACGGTTGGTTTCACCTCTTATATCTACAGTGTTACAGATCTCCACAGACTGACCCTCCACACCTATGAGGGAAAGAGTGGGGTCAAAATGAACAAATGAGTACAGGCAATCTGCTTCCTACAGTGCAACATTTTTTTCTGTCAACTCTCAAAGAGCATCAACTATTTAAAGGGGTCATATTATGTCATTTTCATTTTTACAGTTCTTCTCAGTGGCTTTGGTGCCTTACTCGCACTATTTACATTTGCACAACAGTTAATGGATTTCTCAAAACAATTAGTACAAACTGCAAAACCTAGCTGATAACCTGCAAAAGCGTGTCACTTGCTTAAAACGGATAGCTCATTCCTCAAAAAGCAAGTATTGATGTCAATGAAAGTGTCAGTGTCATCAAGATGAAAAGTCCTGACACCCTTGTTTATGAACAAGATATTCAAATGGCTGTTCTGTTTTTACTAAGACAGTTTACTCTATAAGTTTTATTCTATGCAACAAAAAGGCAGATTTTGGTGACACTTCCAGAAAATGCTCAAGACAGCAATGTATACTATTTGCACAGACATTTGAAAACTACAGTAAAGTTAGACATCACTGCATTAAGTGAGGTATCTGAGTACAAGACACTAAATATGTATGGTTCACATTATCACTGCATATGCTCCTTACAATTGTAATTTATTCACAGCATTGTGCAAAAGAATAAATCCAGCCTTATTTACAGCAAACAGAAACTTCCTTTGGGTAGAGCTGTGCAAAACTTTAAACAATATTGCAGAACATACTGGAACTGACCCTAAAACACACACAGGTCTGTAAATCATTCAATAAATTGTTCAATTTATAAAACATTTTCTGATAAAAAATTAGAAAAAATCTAAAATTAGCTTGACAGATTTTGACAAGTAGTTCAACATTTTGTAATGTTTGTAATGTAATGACTCAAGTAATGATATGAGGACTATTAGTTTTTTTTTTTATGGAATGACTATTCAGCATTCACAAGTCTAGTTAATTTTGACTGACACGACATAAGCAAAAGATAATGTTATAAACAGCAGAGAGTTGAATGAAAGCAATTGATGCATGTCCAAAAGCATTTGCAATTTGTTGGAAAGAACGAGAAACTGCCACTAGGAAAAAAAACAGGCTGCTTTTGTGCGCATCCAGAATGTTCTGATTCTGTGGTGTAAAATAGCACTAAGTTAGCTCATATTTTAATTGTGACAGATATCCTTTAGCTAGGAAGAACACCTTTTGAATAATTTCTACACCATCGGAGTGTTTTTTATTAAATAACATTATATTTTCATACATTAAGCAATCGTCAACTGTGCGATACTGTGAGTTCACGGCATGGCAGAGCGTGACCTACTTCAAGCACGTCATGTGACATATTCGTAACACACATTCAGTCAAAGCCTATTTAAACAAGGATATGTTTGTTGAAATTAACTAGATTTTTCTATGGCACATTCACACCAGATCCGGATGAAGCGTTAAGTGTGATTACTTTACATGTTTAGTTAATGTACAGTGTAAAGTCAATGTAAAAATTTAATTAGACATCCTGGGGCACTATTCGCGCAAATGACACAATTCGAGCGAATAATACTGTGTGAATTAAACGTTTTTTGGGCATTTGATGAAGGCATAATTTGCACAAATTGTACAAGTTGAGAAATTGTTGTTTTGTCGGCGCATTTGCATTCACACCATGCTAACTTATCAGAAACTTGCTCTAGTAGGGGCCAGGTTATGACGTAGCGCATGTTGCTGGAGTCCTGAAGGGAAATTATCCTGTAAACATGAGACAAAAGTTCATCAAATTGGGGCCGGCTCAGTCAGAAGTACTGCTGAAAGAGTCTGAAGAGGCACAGCTTCTAAAAAGTTTATGAACTTAGAGCATCGGTGCACCTCTAAAGGATCTGATGGCCCACACACATAGCTGAATGAATCTACATAATTTTTTTGCCTTGCTGAAGCATATAAATCACAGCTCCTCTCTCAATAAACTCCATGTCAGTCTTTTTGCAACAAAAAATAAAGTCTCCAGGCAGACAGGGAACAAAATCTACTTTTAGTTCCCCAGTCCAGAATAAAACGTAGAGGGGACAGAGATTTTTTCTGTGCCTGATGCTGCAGGAATGGCACCCTCACAATCAGTTTCAAATCACTTTTAAATACGTACCTCTTCAGATTCACCTATTAATATTATACTAATAGTTTTTGTCAATTGGTTTATTTCTGTTGTTTCTCTTGGTTTTATTTCTATGTTTTCATAATTTTCGCTATATTTTTACTCAATATTACTCTGTCTTATGTACAGTACTTTGGTCAGTCTTGGGGCTGTTTTCAAATGTGCTTTATGAATAAATGAACTTGAACGACCCCCTTACCATGACTTGAATCTGCATCGCGCGAATGAAGCAAGTCAATTCAAAACTCAAAATGTTCAAGCATTCAATTACATGTGAACAGTGCAATCACGCAAGCCGCCCCTGTTGTTGAAGATATTTAAGCAAGTTTAGTTTATTTTGATCAGTTAGAGTCATTCAATCATTCATTTTCTTTTCGGCTTAGTCCCTTTATTAATCCAGGGTCGCCGCAGCGGAATGAACCGCCAACTTATCCAACACGTTTTTACATAGCGGATGCCGTTTTAGCCCCAACCTATCTCTGGGAAATCAATTAGAGTTTTGGAATAAGGCTGTAACAAAAAAACAAAAAAAACAAAAAAAAAGGAAAAAGGGAAGCGCCAAGAATACTTTCCAGATGCACTGTATTTATTCAATCACTGAAAAATTATGTATTTAAATAATCATTATTCATTTTAAATAAATATTAATACATTTATTAAATATGATGTAGTAAGCTTACTTTCACAGCAAAACAACACAAAAAATGGTGCAAATATTGTGTAAACTCCAAACTCCAGAAGCCAAAGTGGTAGAGTGAGTGTTTACAAGTGTCACCAGCGCACCACACCAGTCACAAGTCCCACCCAGCAGTGCAGAGAGCAGCAGATGTCAGTAAAAAGCTTTTACTTTTACTACTGCTGCTTTTCTTTTTTGGTTTTGACTCTTTCATCCCTTAGTCTAAACATAACTACAATTAATGAAACAATATAGATTGTCTTATATACTGCATATAGATACATTTTATTAAATACATTATATATTATAACATAGATACAATTCTGTATCTGTTTTACTTTAAAGTAAGCTAATATTATCTGTTCTTCGCTGCTCATCCTTAAAGGTATAGCTCATCCAAAAATGTAAATTCTGACATAAATTACTAACCCTTTAACTTTTTCCAATTTATACTTTTTTTTCTTCTTTTGAACACACACACACACACAAAAACATATTTTGAAGAAATCTAGAAACGTGTAACCTTCAATAGTATCTGTTTTTCCTACCATGGAAGTCAATGATTGCAGGTTTTCAACTTTCTTCAAAATATCTTCTTTTGTGCTTAACAAAAGAAAGAAAATCATAAAGATTTGAAACCGCCTGAGGGAAAGTAAATAGTAAGTCAATTTATATTTTAGGTGAACTATCCCTTTAAGACGTGACTATCTTTTGAGTTGCTCTACTTAAAACAGAAAGCAAAAAAATAAATAAAAATAGACAGGATCACGGTAAAGTCAGAGTCTGAACTGAACTGAAGTCAGCGCCAGCAAGATTAAAGTCTAATGTTCAAAGGCAACAGCGGTAAGATAAGGTCACCGCAACCACTGCTGTTTGCAAGTTGCCTGCAAGAGTAAACACCACGTCTACACCAAAAAAGATGCATCCATGTTGACAGACTGACTCTAGTGTAGGGCTGCACGGTTCTGGCAAAAATGTGATTCACGATTTTTTCAGCTTAAAATCAAGATCACGATTTTCTAACGATTCTGTAAAGGTAAAATAAAGGTTAATATGATTAGCCTATTTTTATGGTTAATTCTTAAACGCATGGTAAAACAACAATAATAATATTAGGCCTATGTGTAGGTCTACTGTTGCTTAAAGTGCTACATTTTGTATAGTCATTATGGTGGACTTGAACAGATTTTCAATACGTCCTGTTTGTTAACTCACAGTAAAATCATGACATCAGAATATAGCTATTTATAATTTTAAAGTTGATTTATTATGTTTGAGGCGTATGCTTGTCATCTGTCATTGACAGCATTATTGGACCATTTGTTTTCACTGGTAAAACAAGAAATTTGTCATTATCAGATTCCTTCTTGCAATATATTCAACATTATATGTAGGTTAGGGTTATTATACTGTCACAGTAAACACTTATTTTTATGCACAACACCTTGTGTTCGCTAAAGAAAAAACATCAAATGCTAGTCGTAATCATAACTCTAAATTGCGTTATGGTTATTTAAATGATGTGCGCACAGGTTTCACTTTCACTTTCACTTTCAAGTGCGGCTCATGGCTGCTGTCACTGTGAGAAAAAACACACACGCATGCAAATCAAACCTCCCGCACGGCTCTCAAACAATCGCTCTGTGCAACAGACAGAACGTTATTTACAACTTCATTACCTGTTATTCACAGCCTATGCAGGTTATGTTCACTAAAGTAGGCGTCATGCGTGCACGCGCGTGTTCTCAGAAGTAAATAAACAGTGCGTCAGCTCACGTGTGATTTCGCAACCGTGAATACATCATTACATGAAGACAGAAAAGACATTCTTGGGTGAATTATACCTTATAAATACAGTTTGTGACACTTTTAACGCCATTTAAAGGTGTCAATGTTGCTGTGAAGTCTTGTGCGACTGCCTCGCTTCTTTCCTGAGCTTGAAAATATAATTCGCTGAATCATTGAAAAAGCAGAATTAAGATCATGTGTAGAGTCGAACCGAGATCGTGATTTTTTTTCGATTAATCGGGCAGCCCTACTCTGGTGTAGAGAAGGTGTAAGATTCAGCAATAAGACAACACACCTAAAGAACCGTTAGTAATGGACTGTTATTATGATTTATATGTTCAGACCAAAAAAATGTTATGGGCTTCTTTTGATTTTATAAAAATGTTGATTTTTAAAAACAT